AAGAAAGAAAGTGTAGTTGTCAGTCATCTTCCCTGTGGGAAAAATTGCATAGTCATAGAAGCATCTTCTCCCAGTCCCTCTCCTGCTGATCTACCAGAAAAACAGGAATCCATCTGGTGAGGATACTCTCTCATCCCCCCCTTGTGTTGAGTGTGAGCACACACTCATGAAGGCATGTAAGCCAGCCCTTCATGCCTTTATGTCCTCCCATTTTAGACAACCAATGTTTCAGTTGCCTGTTCTAATTCTCTATGAAACTATTACTCTAAGGAGAACATCTGTCTGCCCATTGTTGAAATTATAGAGTGCAAAAGGTATTACTTGGTCTGAGGAAATGTGACTTGGTAGTCCAAATTGATGAAATCTCTTCTGGTTCTTTTTTGGCACTTGAACATTTGCATTTATCACTGGGTAAATAAACAAAGCCCAAAGTCAGTGTCTATTCCTGTCAAGACTCATTGGTCACCAGCAGCAGTCATTGTTCAGGGCCAGCTATTTTCAGGGCCTTCTCCCAGGGAATCTGACAAATAGCCATTTGCAGCCTCTGCCTCTTTTGTTGCCTCTTTTGTTGTTTTTAGTGGTATTTTGTGTCTCAGAGGTGCAGGAGGAATATGTCTAGATTCAACCCATCTCTGCATTGCTGCAGGCCCCCAATGTCCACTCATTTCATAGATCCAGCTGGCCACCTCAGGCAAGTGTACCGGGATATCCACCAGTCAATTCCAGTCACCTTCTGAACCTACTAGTGGATTTTTTGATGGGCATCACATGTTCTACTTTAATGCACTCTTCAAATTCCCATAGTGATTTTCATGTGGGCATCCCTTTAATAGGCCAGTTTTCCATTGCCTCTCTGCCTGACCATATGAGCAGGCCACTGGCCACCATCCACTAGTCAGTAAAAACTCAAACATGGGGGATTTTTATCACTGTTCAATACTTCTGTCACTGGTAGGAAAAAAGCATATAATTCAGCCCATCAGACTGATATGTTTTTACCTTCTTCCAACTCAGAGGTGGCCTTTCAATGAGGATGCTGTTCATTCACTGTGGAACTACTATCCATAAACCAAGCAACTCTTTGCTGGTCATTTTGGAACTGTTCACAGGGCAACAGCCATAGAATAGAATCTGATAGGTCCTCACAATATTCCAAAAGCAGTCCTAGGGGAAAATAGTAGATGTGCTTGTGAATCTGCTGAGTAACTTTCTGCATTCCCCCAGAAGTATATTCCTGTTTTGACATAAATATATATTTGTTCTCTGCTGATAGTTGTTGACACAGAGCTCCTAAAACCCTTGTGACATCCTGAGTTACAGGGGTACTGGAAGCATCTTTTATTTTAGTATATGGTCTTTGACCCAAGTTTCTGATACAGTGTTCCTAAATCCTTTGGAATTTCCTGGGTGTTAGGAGTGTCCTTTGTTTTAATGAGGTGACTCTTGTTGGGTTCCTGGATAGCTTTGGGATGAGGCTGGTCACCAGAAAGACCAGGCCATGATTAGAAGCTTGGAATTTTCAGCCCCACTCCCCATCTTCCAGGGTGGGGGAAGGGGCTAGAGACTGACTTAATCAATTATGTCTATGTCATGAAGCCTCCATAAAAATCCCTAAAAGGTGAGGTTCGGAGAGCTTCTGTGTTGGTGAACACATCCACTTGCCAGGAGGATGGCATACCCCAACTCCACAGAGACAGGAGCTCCTATACTTTGGATCCTTCCAGACCTCGACCTATGTACCTCTTCATCTGGTGTTCATCTGTATTTTTTATCATATATTTTATCATATCCTTTAATAAACTGGAAACATAAGTGTTTTCCAGATTTCTGTGAGCCATCATAGTAAATTTTAAAACCTGAGGAGGGGGTTGTAGGAATCCCCAATTTGTAGCCAAGTCAGACAAGAAGTGTGGGTTGCAGGTGTTTGGGGAGGCAGTAAGCTATGATGACACCACAAGAAAAAGAAAAAGAAGTGTGGGGACCTGATCCTTGCCACTGGAGTATGAAGTGGAGGGCAATCTTATATAGATAAGCCCTTAGCCTATTAGGTTGAGGTCTGTACTAATTTCAGGTAGTTAGTGTCATAATTGAATTGTAGGACACCCAGTTGGTGTCTAGAGAGTTGGAGAATTGGTTGATGTGGGGAAAACTCTGTATTTTAAAAATTTTTTAACTGTAGTAAAATACATATAACATGAAGTTCATCATCTTAACTTTTTTTTTTTTTTTTTGAGACAGGGTCTCACTCTGCCACCTAGCTAGAGTGCAATGGCATCATCATAGCTCACTGCAACCTCAAACTCCTGGGCTCAAGTGAGCCTTCTGGCTCATCTTCCCAAGTAGCTAGGACTTGGGAGGTGTGCCACCTCACCCAGCTAATTTATTTTTATCTGTAGAGTCAGGATCTCACCATGATGCCCAGGCTGGTCTTGAACTCTTGCCCTCAAGTGATCCTCCCACCTCAGCCTCCCAAAGTGCTAGGATTACAGGTGTGAGTCACAGTGCTTGACCTTAACCATTTTTAAGTATTAAGTGTAGAAGTATTACATGTATTTATATTGTTTTGCAACCCATCACCAGAACTTTTTCATCTTTCAAAACTGAAACTCTATACCCATTGAACAACAGCTCCCCATTTCCCCTCCCTCTAACTCCGGCAACCACATTCTACTTTCTGTTCTATGATTCTGTAAATACCTCATATAAGTAAAATCATACAGAATTTGTCTTTTTCTGACTGGCTTATTTCACTTAGCATAATGTCCTTAAGTTTCATGCATGTTATAGTATATGTCAGAATTTCTTTCCTTCTTAAGGCTGAATAATACTCCTTTGTATGTATATAGAGTAGTTCCTCAGCATCCTTAGGCGATTGGTTCCAGATCCCCCTTCAGATACCAAAATCCATGGATGCCCAAGTCCCTGATATAAAATGGTGGTGGTATTTGCATATGTGATCTGAGATACCAAAATATTAGAGGCCCCTTTGTCAACTAAGATAGACCCTAAGGTTACAGAAACAAAATAACCTACCAGTCAGGGGTTTAGGGCCCAGCTGGCATGGCAAATATCTAAATTCCTACAGCTCTAAACTCCCCAACCATAGGAGCTATCAGACCCCTCTTAACTCTGATGTATAACCCAGACCACTATAACTCTGATTGGACAAAGGACTGGCCTTACATTTATTTCTAATAATCAACTGCAGACCTTAAGCCAGTTTCAGCCAGTTTATGGAAGCTGTGCCCAACTTGTCTTTGTGTCTTATGAACATAAAGAGCCAAATTCCACCTCATTTTAATGCTAAAACCCTGCCCCAATGTGAACATGGGATGTATGTTATGTATATGTTTACCCTGTGCACACGCTTGACTCCCCTCATAAATATGTATACCTTTTCTCTCAAACCTGCTGAATTTGTATGACTCAGGCCCTATGAGGCAAAAAAATCAACCTGTCCTTCCTCTTTTCAAAGAGATAGCAGAGGCTGGAGACTACAGCTCTCTGGTTTGCAAACAGATATTGTCAATAAAGCTCTCCTTTCTACTATTTAGCTATCCTGGTGTTCTTTTGGATGACACATATAACCTATGCACATCTTCCCGTACACTTTAAATCATCTCTGTATTACTTACAATACCTAATATAAATGCTATGTGTTAATAGTTTTTATAAGGTATTATATTGGGAATAATGACAAGAAAAAAATGTACACATTCAGTACAGACCCTACTTTTTAAAAAAATATTTCAATCCTCCAGTGGTTGAATCCACAGAGGCGCAACCCAGGGATATGGAGAGCCAACTGTGCTACATTTTTTTATTCATTCTTCTGTCACTGGATGTAAGCATACCCTAAGGGCCATTCAGAGTATATTGCTACGCTACACATAGGTCTACCGTACAGATAATTGTCCGTCCTAGCACAACACATTCTACACTGTGTGGGCTTGGGCAATCTTATTCACTCCCATTTAGCATATCTGATTAATACTATTTTGACGGTCGAATTTTTATGCCTTGTGTTTTACAATACTATGTAGGGGAAACATTTCCCCAGTCAGACAATATATCCATTCTCATAGTACAATCAGGGACCAGACACACAATCACTTCACATAAAGCCTGTGTAAATATTCCAACGTTCACAAACTTTTGTCTTAATCCCGTCAACCCTTGCATTTTTATTTTCTTTCAATTTAATTGCAGCCCACATTAGGGCTTCACCAGTGCTTTTTCGTTTATAATACTTGGCAGAGGAATAATCCCCGAGTCAAACATAGTAGCTATTCCTATAAAACATTCAAGTAAAGGAGACACAAGCTCTTCACATAAAGGCTATTTAAACATTCCAATTTTCATCCAAACTTTTACTTTAATCCTATTAACTCTAACATTTCTATATTTTCTCAAAGTGTAGCTGTTAGGGCTTCACCAATGGGTTTTGGTACCACAGTGCACATCGCTCCGTTTCAGAAAGTCTCAGAAACTTCTCTTCTCCACCCCCTGATCATTTGACTCACTCCTGTGGATAAGACTTTTGTGTCTCCACAGTGGGGTCCAACCAAGGGACCCAGACCCTTTTGTCAGTCTTTATATTGATTAATCTACCTATTTCCTCAGTGATTCCAGATCAGGTTTTATTAAATTTTACATGCAAACTGCATTTTAAAACTTTTAAAATTATTACTTATTTTTCAATTATTTTTTTTTTCTGTTTTAAAACGGTTTGGGTAACTTGGATTGTAATGCATAATTATTCTCATTTTTTTCACCTAACGGCTTTTCATTTAGTGACAAAGCTCTCAGGAGTGAATTAAAACCGTTGAGCCAGGGTCGGGTTCACTGGAAGTTAAAAGACTGGAAAGGAGTCACAAAGCTGCCTCCTTTCCCGACCCAGTCTGCCCTCCGCGGACAACCAACCAATCACAACTAGCAGGAGCCCGCCTGTCTGGGGGAACCAGACCCAGCTGGCACAAACCAGAGCGTTCCGCCTGCGCAGCTGGGGGCGCGATCGCGGTTCCGGACGCCGCGCCGCGCAGCCCGACCGGTAGGAGTCGCCCTCGGCGAGCGGGCTCAAAGGACGCGACGGACGCTGCCTTTTCGCCTCCGGTCGCCACAGACCACTCCACCCGCTGACATGGTTGAGGCGGATCGCCCGGGGAAGCTTTTCATTGGGGGGCTCAACCTCGAAACCGACGAGAAAGGCCTCGAGACCGCGTTTGGCAAGTATGGCCGCATCGTCGAGGTGCTCCTGATGAAAGATCGAGAAACCGGCAAGTCGAGGGGCTTCGCGTTCGTCACCTTCGAAAGCCCCGCAGACGCCAAGGCCGCCGCCAGAGATATGAATGGCAAGTCCCTGGATGGTAAGGCCATCAAGGTGGCCCAGGCCACCAAGCCGGCGTTTGAAAGCGGCCGGCGGGGCCCGCCGCCGCCGTCCCGCAGCCGTGGCCGCCCGAGAGGCCTGCGTGGAGCCCGCGGTGGTCCGCGGCGACCCCCTTCCCGGGGCGGGCCGGCAGACGACGGCGGCTACGCAGGGGATTTCGACCTGCGGCCCCCCAGGGCCCCGCTGCCCCCGAAGCGCGGGCCACCGCCGCCGCGCAGGGCCGGCCCTTCCCCCAAGAGGGCCGCGCCGTCGGGCCCGCCTCGCAGCGCCGGCGGCGGAATGCGCGGGCGGGCCCCGGCCTCGCGGGGACGAGAGGGCTATGCTGGCCCGCCGCGCCGGGAGCCGCCGCCCCCGCGCCGCGACCACTACCTGGGCCCGCGGGAGGAGGGCTACCCGCCCAGAGACAGCTACTCGAGCCGAGACTACCCGAGCGCCCGCGACCCTCGGGACTTTGTCCCCTCGCCCAGAGAGTACACCTACCGCGACTACGGCCACTCCAGTGCCCGGGACGACTCACCACCGAGAGGCTACGGCGACCGAGACGGTTACGGGGATCGCGACCGTGACTACGCGGATCATCCCAGTGGAGGCTCCTACCGAGACCCCTTCGAGAGCTACGGGGACCCGCGCAGCACCGCCCCCGTACGGGGGCCACCGCCATCTTACGGCCGCTACGAGCAGTACCGGGGCTGCTCGCCCGACGCCTACAGCGGTGGCCGCGACGGTTACGGCAGCGGCCGGAGCGACCGCTACTCCAGGGGCCGAGAGCGGGTGGGTAGACCGGATCGCGGGGTTCCCCCGTCCATAGAAAGGGGGTGCCCTCCCCCGCGTGATTCCTATAGCCGGTCAGGCCGCAGGGTCCCCAGGGGCGGAGGCCGCCTAGGAGGCCGCTTGGAGAGAGGGGGAGGCCGGAGCAGATACTAAGCAGGAAGAAACTTGGGACCAAAAATCCCTTTTCAAGAAAACTAACAAAAAGAAGAACCTGTTCTATGATAACTACCCAAAGACTAGTACAAAGAAGAGTTGTTTTACCTTTTAAGAATTTCCTGTTAACTTCCTCTCTATGTTTTTGCGAGGAAAAAGTTAAAATTCTTTTAATTTCGTTTTGGAATTGTTAACGTTTCTTTCAACAAGCTCATGTTAAAAGCATAAGACTTGAATCTGCGTACTATTTTTCTTTTATTTTCAAGTAGAAATTCTCCTAAATGCTTCTACCCTTCTAAATTTTTCTGATAAATGAGGCAAACGGTTCTGAGATGTTTCATAAACATCTGCTTACCTAAAATGGAAAAATGGATCATTCTGCCCATTCAAACCTACTAGATTTTGGAGGGAGAGTGGGAGGGAATTAGTATATGCTACTTTTAAGATTTCAGGGTGTTTTTCAAACTGAATTTCATTGTTTCCAGTATTAAAAACCAAAAAGCCAGCAAGAGGAACAAAAACCATTTAGATCAGATGCTTATGTAAAAAATGTTGTATTCACTCAGTAAATCTAAAAAAGCAAATGGATGATACTGGCTATATTTTGCCTTTTTGCCCTTTCTTTGGGAATCTGCAGGATCTCCTATCCTCTTGCTCCCCAAAATATCATTCATATTTTGAACAATGGAATACTAAAAGATTTTACCACGACGCTGCAAAACAAAACAAAACAAAACAAAAAAACTCCAACCCCATCAATTAATAGCATTCATTTTCACCACCAACAAATTATTTAAGAAACAAGTAGAAAATACACCAGTGGTGGATTTGGAGATTATAATGGCTTCCATTCCTAAATGAAGCTACTTGCCCTTGGCTGTAGAGCCAACCACTAACTCCTGGATTGAGTTGGGCTTCTTTCCCTAGGGGTGGAGGAATCAAATGTGAATAGTTTCAGACAGAGCTCAGGAGCAAAGGTCAAAGAATACCTGAAAGAGCTTGGCATTTCAATCTCTGAAGATCTGAAACTGGTTTGAAGGGGCAAGGTCTTACTGTCTGCAAAAGGCAAGGGGTTGGATGGGTTGAGTGTTCCTTGCTCTACAGGTAGGGAGAAGGGCTGTAGAAAACTGGCAGTCTTTCTCTAAGATGCTTTAGGAGGGGCGTAACAGTTTTCTCTTTTTATCCTAAGCTTAGGGGAAGAAACACCTTTTCCATTCAACAACTGTGGAATTCCCCAGTTAATCTCAAAGAAAGGTAATTGTCCAGTCAAGGGACTCTAGCAACCAGAGAAAGAAGGATCAGGTTTAAACTATTAGGACCCATGTTCAATGTAATAATTGCTGGAGAAAACAAATGAACACCTGAACAACAACAAAAAAGTACTTAAAGAGATCTGAGTGTAACACATGCATATACACAACTCTTAAAAACATGATTTTTCAACAAAATAATAAAGTAGGTGAATTAAAGGAGAGGACACACACTAGTGTGTTAGAAGATCAAATGCAAACAATAGCTCAAAAGAAATGATGCAAGAATTAATCTAGCAAAATTGTGTAAGATCTTTATGGAAAAATTGTTAATCCTTATTAAAGGACATAAAAGAAGAACTAAATGGAGATTCAGAAGTTCATGGTTGGGAAGTGTTTTTAGGATAACTATTCTCGATCTTACCAGATTAATTTGGAAATTAATTAATTTGAAAACAAGGTTAATTAAGTTGGAAAATCAACTTTAAATGAAGTCAAAACATGATTTTTTTTCACACAGCTCCCCTCCCCTCTTTCCTCATAATACCATTTATTTGTGTTGATCAACGATGGAATACTAAGCGAAAGATTTGGTAAACCACAAAACTGAAAAAAAATCAATAGCTTCATTTCACCACCAACAAATTATTAAGAATCAGGTATTAAAAAGAGACACTAACGAGAGATGTAGCTAATCCTAAAGTTTACGTGATCGAATAAAGAGCAAGAAGAGCCAAATCAATTCTGAAAAATAATACTTAGGAAGGACACACCCTACAGATACCAAGACTTAACTGCAAAGCTTTAGCAATTTAAGCTGTATGTCATCAACAGACAAGGATAGACAGACCAGTAGACCAAAATTGTGAGCCTAGAAACAGGCCCACTTCTGTATGAAAACATGTTATGTGACAGAGGTAGCTTTAAAAGTCACCGGTGACAGAATGAACTTAAGAAAAAAAAAAGACAATCTCTGTAAAAGATAAAATGAGAATCCCTGACTTACAAGCATACACAAAAATACATTCTAGATGGTTTGAAGACTTAAATGTGAAGAGGAAATGTTTTAAACACTTAGAAGAAAATAAAGAAGAAATGCATTCACCACACTGGGGTAAAGAATTCCTTTTTAATACATAAAAATCACAAACCTATGAGGAAAATGTTGGTAAAATTTTCCACATTATTATTAAGGTATTTTTTTATAATAAAAGACACTATTACCGAAGTGAAATGTCAAATCATAAATTGGAAGAATGTGTTTGCATTGAAATAACTTCCAAAAGAATGCTTAAAAATCAATAAGAAAAAACACCAAGAAAAAAGTGGGCAAAAGATCTCATCTTTCTGGTAGATGTATATAATTGATACAATCACTTTGGAAATAATTTTGGTAATACAAAATGGGTCATACCTTGTGGACCCAGAAATTCCATTTCAAGGAAGGGCTAAGAGAAACTTGCACATGTTCACAAGGAGATACGCACAGGATTGGTCTGTAAAGTACCGCGGTCTCCCTGGAGTGGATCACCAGAGATGTACTCCTATAATGAAGTTTAATTTAGAAGCTAATGTGAATCAAGCAGATCTACATGTATCAACATGGGTAAATATAAAAATATTTATTTGGTGAAACAAGCAAATTTCCTATAGGGTATAGTCAAAAAAAGACCAAAAATATGATTGGATTGATACACAAAAAATTGGGATTTTTAGTGTGAGGAAGAAAGGAAAACGATGGAATGAGGAGTGGGCTGTAGCTGAAACTAATGTTTTATTTCTTTAAAAGTGACAGATCTTAAGCAAAACTGACAAGTTTAACGTTTTAAATTTCTGTGGACTATATATGGGCATCTCTTTTATTCTAAAGTTCAAAATATTTCATAATACAAATTTAATATGAAAAAACAGAACTTAGCACATCACCCAGCATCTGATAACTTACACAAGAATGTTTGTTATTCTGAAATTCAGATGCAACACTCGTGAGAATGATTCTCCCTCTTGGCTTTGTTCTCACATCAGTATGGTTGATGCCTTATTCTATTTGACTCAGTTTGTAGCACCTTCCTATCCTAGACTGTGCCCACAGCTAGCTCACCATAGCCTCAAGGGTAGAACTCATATTTCTGAGAACCAAATCTTAAGGAAGGTGTAGTTTTTCTCTTTGATGTTAGTTTTGAAGCTTAAGAGTGATGAAAAACTTTTTTCAATTAACAGAGATGCTATTTCTGCAGAGTAATTTTCTGAATATTGAAATTGTTAATAAAAAAACCCAAATAAAGGAAGTATTAACATTTGGAAATAAAGACTTATCTGGGGCTTAGATGAGGTTAAGATAATAGCATAAAAAGGCTGTAGATTTCTCATGTACATATACAATACAACAGCACCAATAGTTCTTTATTAGAAATTAATGTATTACAGTTATCTTTGTAGGATCTAGTCGATTGAGAATTAGTCTTTATAATCACTTTTATAACGATGAGAGAGAGCATATCAGATGTTTTCCAGGACTCATCCACTGAGTAAAATTTAAAGAATTTGCATCTCAACCAAAATCTTTATATTTTATATTTTTGAGCTTTTGTCTGTTTACTCCTGAGACTCCATCTCTTCCACATTCTTTCTTTCCAAAAAGGTTGCAGGAGCCTTCAAACTGTTCATGTAGCAACTGATAGCATTACTGAATGCCCACCAGGTGAGGCCTGAACCTTTTTCATTTCTGATCACAGACTGAATCCTGCTGTGGCTCCTGGAGATATCTTAAAGAGTGCTAGAAGTAGAATTCTTTTTTCCTGTAGGGCAATAGCTCCTCCTTTTCCCCCTTGCCTCAGGCCAGGTGAGAAGGAAAAGGCTTTTTTACCCACTGTATTTTTTCTAACTGGATCCTCTAAAATTTCTCAGCCTTTATATGGTTTCCACAATCCTTCCCTTTTAGCCTTTACTTTAAAGGTGATATGATTTCCCTTCCCTTCCTCCACAGAAATTTCTTTTTGGGGGACAGTTACTGTGTTCCCGTATTTCCTCTTTTGGGAATATTTGAGAACTCACCAAACAGAATCAGGCTATATTGTTTTTGCTGTGTACACATGGAATCCAATGCTAGTGGGAATTCCTTTCAGAATCCTGCATGTTCTACTTGGGGTGAAGTTGATTCTGAAGCTAATTTCTCTTACAGTTTAGCACATCTAAGAATAACATAAAAATCATTTTGAGTCTAGATATTTTGTGGGTGACATTGAACAAGTTTATCAAGTGCAAAAATTTAACTCTAGAGGAACTATATAGCAATGATGATCTATTGAACGCATCCAACTATCTATCATGTTTGTTAAAATGCTCAAGGAGAATGAAAAATATAAGGACCTATTGTGAAATTTTTAGAGAAAACATTAGGAAAAATAGTAAAGCTTTTCTTGTAATGTTTAGATGCTACTTGTTACGGTAGAGAGATGATTAATCTTTTGGTTATATGTATAAGTCCTCATTCTGTTACTTATGTGGCTTTGACAATTTTCTTAGAAATTTTAACCTTCAGTTTTTTTATGTGCAAATTATGATGATAATACTGTTTCATAACATCTGTGAAAGTTTTAAATAAGGAATGCAATGGGGTTCATTAAATGATAGTACCATACATAGCATTCTACACAAAGCAGTGGCACAGATTTTCCTTTGGAATTTATTATTTCCATACCCAGTAAAATTACTTATGTATTCAAAATCTTCAGAAAAGTTCAACTTAAGAGTTTTATTGTATTTACTCAGGGTGTACTCACCCAGTTTGAACTCTTAGAAACACATTTGACTTTTTACAGCCCCCATTTATTTTCCATTGGCTCTGCCTTCTCTCCCTTTTGACAGCTAGGGGGACCAAAACTTCTACCAGGAGGCTCAGTGCCCCATTCCTCATCAGTCTAGGTAGAGGAAGATATATGTTCTTATGAAGACCTTGATTCCTTCAAATCAAGTAGAGTTTAGAATTATTACTGTTTGGTTTAATTGGCTTAGACTCAATTTTTACCCCATAAATAAAGTACCAAATATAGTGCCTGGATTTAAAAAAAATGTGGCTATTGTTATTATTTTTATTTACAATTGATCCAGTGCTTGGTGCACCTAGAGAAGTCCCTGAGTTGCAGTAGAATTTAGTGATTTATTAATAGAATAAGTAATATGGGATCTGGTAGACCTGAATTCAAATTCTGTATCCACCATTCACTAACTCTGTGATCTTGGTCAGGTTACTTAATCATTCTCTTCCTTGTTTCCCTTGCTTATAAATTAGGAACAAGAATCCTCACCACACGAGATTGTCCATCTGTCTGTTTACTCATTGGATCGA